ACGAACCAACTCTCCAACTCGGGTTCGTCCAGTGTAACTTTAAACAAACCAGAACCACCAACGAGCTAAAGATCGCTACCCAAGGATTCGCCAGTGTTAGAGACGGCCGACGGGGCTCTGTCATAATGGTTGTGGAGATCAGGGGAGCAGTGTTCTCCCTAAATTTTAGCTCAGCAGGTAAGGGACCATTCATGGACGCTAAGGCAAAAAACACATACTTTTCTAAGAGGGGGGGGGGGGACGGTGGAGTGAGGGACATGGACCCGCCTTCACTGGGAAATTTACGCAAATTTGCGGTCGTTATCTTTAGAAAACAAATTAAAACGTTTGATTCCAATAATTTTACTATGTCTCCAAAATGCATGTCCCTAAAAAGGAAAGCTGCATATACAGTACTAGTACAGAACCAAAATAATGCACGCGCAAAAAGTGGCGTAAGAAGTTGCTGCGCCGCAAGAACATGCAAGCCACCGCAAGAAGTGAAAGTGCCGTATTTTTGCGGACCCTTTGTGGTTTACCCGCAAGAACTTTGAAACGAAAGAAGTCAAAAATCTTCACCGCAAGAAGCTAGAAAATTACCGCAAGCCTCAAGAAGGCGCATGAAGTTCTTTATAAGTGTTAACCTGAAAGAAGTTTGTAGTGTTTGTTGCCTTTTTGTGACAACACCGTTTTGTAGCGTTGATACTAATTCACTCTGTGGCAGCAAAAGGTAATCATGAAAGTACACACGTAAAAAGTTGCCTGGGAAAGCGAACAGCTTTCTCTGCTTTTTGTGCAAAGTGAACACTTCAATCGTTCAGCTTTTCCAAAGTTAGATAAAGCGTGTGAGGCGTTTGTTTAACAAAACGATCTGTAGTTTCGAACATTTCGATTATTTGGATCATTTCATAGTACAATACCATAGTCTCGGCAAAACAAACTAAAGGCGTTGAATTTCTGCCCACAAGAAAACATGGGAATTATTATTACTTTATTGCGCTAAGTTGAAAGAGCCTTTAGTGAAAATATTCCTTACTTTACTTTCGCATGTTTTTTTTTTTCCGAGAGCGCTTTAATTAAGTTGACACAGTTGCACGTGCGGTCTCAAATTACACTGCTCTTTTGCGAAACATACTACGATCGTTCCTTATTTTTTGAAGCGCTGCTTTTTTTAAAATCAAAATTGTACACATTTCTTCGCTTAAAAGGTTACCTTTGCACAAGATAATTTTAAGAAATTCTTGTGGTTAAATTTATAACCGCAAAAGAATTTCTTGCGTCTTGCTGGTTCAAGCGCAAGCGCCCTGCAAAAAGGCGCACGAAGTTGCCAGCTTGCGGACGCAAAAAGTTCCTGAACATGCATTATTTTTGGGCTGTACGTTTTGTACTTAGGTAGCTATACTTTTCCATATATTCATTCATTTTCTTGTGAGGATCGGATCGGATCACAACTCGCTTATTTTTTATTTTTTTTTTTAAATTATTTAATTTTGGTAAACCTTTAAGCAGTTGCAGGCGGTAAGAAGTGTTGCTTCAGGCGGTAAATTTTACCGGTTACCGCCTGATAAGGAGAACACTGCGGGGAGGAGCCGTGAATGCTGTGAATAATTATCTTTTCAGTGCTCTTCTTTCGCTGACGTACTTTGTCGGATAGATCTAAAAAAAAAATCAGTCCATTACTAAAAAGATCAAGAATCAAGCCCAATGGCTGTTTTCACCCTAAAGACGGATAATCCGTCTGGTATATTTACTTTCTTAGTATACATGTGAATTCGAGACGGATATGCTTGTTAAATTTGCCTTGTTACGGATTCACATTAGACGGATGAACAATGCCTTCGAAGTTGTGGCGCGGTTACCATTCCATCTCTTACTTATCCAAAAGCTTTAATAGAAATCAGACAAAACGCATTTCCTGCGCGTAACAAAGTTAGGCGCACGCAAAACAAAGTAAACACTTTAAAAATGTCCCGGAGTATTCTTGTACAAAGATAAGACCTGTTACTCTAAGTTTAAAGTTGTCACCACAAAAAGGATGTTATAAACTCCACAATAAGCTCGCTTTACCTCTTCTACACGGGGATAGGGAAAGAAGCGGTAAGTCATCCCCTCTCCATCCCCTCCTTTTACTACATGGTACCACTCTACCAGAAAGTGGACACGTTTTCGTTAGTAGCGGTGTAATTGAAAACATAGGAAATGTTGTTTTTTTGGTAACATTGGAAACCATTTCCACATCCTTCCATTTACACCACCAAAGAATTGAAAGTGTAAATGGGTCTTGAGTTCCAAATGAATTAAAAGCTTTGAAACCTGAAATGTTACAAAATGAGTATTCAAATAAGACGTTTCAAATCCTCACCTGTAATATGATTTACAACACTTCAGTTAACCTTCCGGTTTAGAACAGCTACAACAAAATTTTTCCGCTAAATCTTTTCGAGTCACTAAATCATGACAGAGGGCGTCGTATAAACAACGGTAAGTAGCACTGGAACCCTTTCTTTCTCTCCACTTCATTAGCATTGCAAGTGCTTTCTCAGACCATTTTTCTTTGTCCTTGTGAAGTGCTGTTAATTCTGCTTTTGTGAATCCTAGCCGACGCCCAAGCTTTTCCCAATCTTCAACTTCCACTGACAGATGTTCCAGCTCGTCGTTTGATGGAATGCCCTCCTTGACTGCAGCCCAAAGAAATCGCATGAAAGTAAAAATGAGAAGAAGAGTATAAAAAGCAAAAAACTTTTATTTTTTCTTATGCGAAAGGAATCTCATTGATTTGCACGGGGTCATGTTTTCAGTTTATTAGAGTAAAAGCCTGATTACATGATCCAGGTTAGGTCCCCTTGTCAAGTTGCCGGGCTATCTCTATTGTCTTGTAATCACAAAGTTGAACAACCCTGCGAACCCTGGGAACGAGTTTAAAAGTTGAGTTTTGTTGCGTTTACTAAGGTACCTAGTCTCGGCAAAACGGCAAATCCAACCAACTCGGTCCACGTATAGTATTTGGCCCTAAATAGCGCGTACTTTTGATAAATGGGAAAGCCATACTAGGAGTGTTTTTCATTGTGCCAAATTGTCTAGAAATTTTGATCAAGACACTAGGCCCGAATGGAATTTTTTTCGCAAATGTCAGTCTATCTCTGGAAATGGTTCCTTTTGACCGGTCGACCCGGTTAGGCTGAAACGTACCGTGGTTCTTTTACATAAATTCTTGTTTTCAGTCACAAACACACGAAGAAGTAACCAAACTTTGTTCGAAACTTGAATGGAATACTTCAAAGAAATCGCTGGAAAATTTCTTTGGATGCCGATCGAGCAATGTCGTTCTATTTTTCTTTGGTTAGTTGCACCGGTCGCTCTAGAATAAATGGAAAACACCCTACTGTACTGTTAGCTACTGTGAGCATTTCTGTTCAACCATTTCTCCTCTTCCTCAATTCTATTTTTCGCTCCTATATTCCTCCTTTTTGAATTCTATTTAGTTCCTGTACACCCTTTTTGATTTTACTTTTCCGCCCACTATGTTACTGCTGATTAAACAAGAAGCGACAAACAAATAAACTAGGGGTACCTTCCGGCAAGTGCCAACGAGGCGAATTCGTTTATCTTTTGTGGAATGTGCCTATTCAGATCTTCGCGATTTTTTTTTTTCATAATTTTAGAGGTTTAAAATGGATTCCGCTATAGAAAAGGATGGCACCCAACTTCAAAACAACAACTTTGGCACATTCTAGGCTTTCACTTTTATTAAACAATAACAACTAGGCTTGAAGCTTTGCTGGTAAATATGAGCAAGTTAGCAATTATGTTTCATGGAAAATTCCATTGTATCAAAGCTATAAACGTTAGAAAGAAAAATATAGTTCAAATGAGGCCTTTGACTGCTGAAATTAAAAATAATAATTAAATTCCGAGCAAGAGCGTCATCAGGAATAAGAAAAGTATTTCGCATAGTAATATACATAAGAAAAAATATGGTGTAAAGTAAAATGTGTGAAAAGCGCGCAAGAATGGGGCGGAAGGTATCAGAGGTATAAAAATATAAACTTGAATAAAATACAAAGATCTAATGAGCGAGTGTCACAGGACAAAGAGTGTCTTGAAAGGCATAATGATAGTGTTCAAAACAAAAGGTCCGTAAATTCGTTGCATTCCTCACGGGAGTTTTGGGCTGTCTCAATGCAAATCGAGCAGCAAAAAACATACTGGTTGACAAAATATCTCGAAAGACATAAATAAATTCTAAAATATTAGGTCCGCAAATACGTTGCATTCCTCACGGAAGGTGAGGACTGGCTCAATGTAAATCGACCTGCGAAGAACATGCTGGTTCTGATATAAGTTTTGAGAATATAACCCTATGCCTTGATCAACTACCGCTTAAAATTCAATTCACAAAGGAAAAGAGAACACTGAAAACCCTGGTTCTGAGTCGAGAAGCGAACAGGCTACCTCAATGTAAATAGCGCTGCAAAGAACAAGGTAGTTCTGACAAAAATTTGAGCGTAAAACCCTATTCCTTGATCAGCTGCTGTTTTAAACGCAATTTATAAAGCAAACCAGAGCACTAATTGCCCTTTCAAACTAGAAATCGTATTAATGCTTGCTCACCAGTTAGGCCCTCTTGAACAGACAACGAACAGCTGCACACTGAATCACCCAATCTTGAACCACGTGTTGTAAATGCAAGACCATGATGTCACTACCCAAATATGGGGTCTTACTTACACCACAATATGGTCAAAAATGCAAATTTTAGAGGGTTACGCAGAATTTGAGAGTTTTTGCCTACATTGCGCGGCATTATAATTCTGCCGCCGAGTCAACCTCGCTTCTTAGCTCGGTTGCCTCGTTGGCAATTACTCGGCCTGCCGGAAATACGTCTACCTCAGAAATAAATAAAGTCGTTAACTGCCAACGAACGGTTGATCCGGTCAGGCGGCAGCCTAATAGAGCCGTGCGCGATTGTTCTAGGGGCAGAAAAAATCTCGAATCGATGTAACATAGAGAAATGTACGGCAACCATGACGTAATGCAGGACAGAGAATGCATTGTTTTCGAGCGAACACGTGATACGGATCAGAGAATCCACGAGCCGTGCGCGTGTTTCTGAGGCCCGTGCTCATCCCGTCGTAAAGACTACCATTTCCATCCTCCGCAATATCTGACGCATTTGCCCGCTGGAATTTCTTATTACATGCCGCTACGAAAAATAATAACGCAGCCAAATTTTTTGTGTCTTTGAAGCAAAATAGTTCGGAAGGCTTCATTGGCGCACCATAAACTTTTTAAGCTTAAAAAGACCAAATATAAGTCTGTACGTTGAATATTCGCGGACTTTAATATGATCTTTCGAGGATTTTAATTTTGCTCATAAGACCACTAAATTTTACGCAAAATGACTTGTGTACAACTTTGGACAAAAACACGAACTTCAATATCTCGAAACATTTGCTGCGTTAGTCGGGATTTCAAATTCTTATGCAGTAGAACATTTTAATTAACTATTTTCAAAAGACAAATTAAAGCAAGGGGCACACATACACCAACCCATGATCCGCCTTCCCCGCGCATGCGTGAGATGCTGTTCCAGCCGTGGGTAGGGGTATGTGTGCCCCTTGCTATAAGTTTGCACTATTTTCAAAGCAATCGAATTAAGTTCAATCTATTTTTCATTAATTACTGTATTTCATGACATTTCTAAACAAATTCAACAGCCCGTGCGTATAGGTAAAATCTTTGCTCGATGGCACTTAGCGATAGCCATAACTAGTTGTTATGAAATAATAAACGATGAGGTCTGACGATGATATGGAGAAATATTGACGTGAATATTCCAAGTTTGGTTAGCATGAGCAAGTTGCGAAAAATTTAACCTTAAATCAAAACAATCAGAACGAAATGATTACAATCAAAACATCTTTAAGTGACCAACTGTTTTCTGGGAGTGATTATAAACTGCACAGATCCAGGCACAGATCTAGTTGCTTAAGTTCCAGTACTAAAATATCGCATGTAACTATGATGAGGAACCGGGTGCAAGGTGCAGGGAACGGTGACCAAGGAACAGGGAGCGAGTCACGGGGAAATGGGAACAGAAATGGCAACAACCAAGAGAATTGGAAATGAAAATACTGATAGGGCTACGGTTCCAACCTCGTTCCCAGGATTCTTTCCTACCCGTCCCTACGAACTCTCGACGGGTAGGAGAGAGAACCTTAGGTTTTGTTCCCGTTTTTCATTTTCCCGTTCCCCGTTTTAGTAATATCCATAAAACATCCTACCTTGATAATCGTTCTTTTCAGGAAGCTGGGGAATGGGAGTGGGCAACTGTTTCTTAGATACAGTACCTGTTTCCACCTCTTCTTCGGACGTATCTAGTTAAAGAAAATTATGACAAAAATGTTTCTATTCGTCACTTTACAAACGGAGCCCGGTTTCTCAAAAGGCTAGTTGGCTTTTCGAGTCCAAAGGCAAATTTATAAATAAAAATCTGTTGAATCAGTAGTAGAACACAAACCAGTCAATTTTGTTTCGTTAAATAATTGTTCCATTGCATCATTTTCAAAATTTTTGAAACTTTGATCTTGAATGCAAATATGGGAAATATAAAGCATCTTTTCGGGCCCGTAAAGTTACCGGGACTTCCGAGGAAAGGGACCCTGGACCGAATTAACTAGTGCAAAAGACCTCTGCAATCGTTACTGCTGACGCGCTGGTCAGTAATTGGCCAAATTTGTTCCCCTGTCCCCAGTTACAGTCTCAGAAGTCTTTGCGAAAGTTACAGTCAAGCCAGGTCAAGCGTACCCCCCAAAATTCCATTAATGAATTTATTATTCGAAAGTTGAGCCCGTTGGCAGTTGTAGATTTCAGATTCATCTCTACATTCTAACAAGCGTAATGAGCCGTGAATTCACACGCGATTCAGTTACGAAATTTCTACCACCTCAGTTTTCCTGAATTTGATGTAAATGTCTTCTAAGAATTTTAATTCATTCAAAGATTTTCAATCTGACCAAATACAGACAAGTTCTCGTAAATTATTCACTGCTCATTAGGCATGCAGTAATTCCGAATTGAATTTGACACCAGTTACGGGAACGACTAACGGACTCATTTTTCAAATAATCAATTCATTAATAGAATCTTGGGGGCTACGCTTGACCTGTTTTGACTGTAACTCGTCCCAGTTTCCTTGTCGTGCCATGAACGTTTCTGCAACGTAAATACAATAGATGTAATGAATTTCGGCTCACAACAAGGTCACGTCAACACATGTTGTGAGATGTTGCGACTACTTTGATTGACGGGGTTTTTTGCAAAGTAAATTCTGCTACCTCTGATCACCTCCAGCTGCTGTGGACGAAAACTATCGATAAGAAGCGGTACAAGGCGGTTGTAGTCCAACCCAAACTTGAAAGAGACAGTTTTTGACACTGAGGCGTAGCAGTACGAAAAGGCCAAGACTTTAAGTGGAAACTGGGTGCAATCTAAATGGACATACGCAATGGCTTGATAGGATCGAGTGTCCATTCCTACTATAATTGTATGATTGCAATATTAGGCGAAATAGTGGAATCTACCTCTGTTGATAAACTGCGGCCATGATACTGAGTAATAACAAAACACAAATTCAAATAATTAAGACTTACAAATTTTAGGAAATCATTTTTTTATCATATCCGCCCCACCTTTGATTGAGGAATCCTCTCTGCTGCTCGAGTACCACCTTTTGAGCTCAGGAAGCGGAAGAATTTCATCCAAATGGCTCTCTGTACAGTACTCGCATGATCCATCTGGCGCAACGGTCAGAAGACACAAACAGCGCTCCTTGTCACAAGGGAATTCGCCATGATTATCACATGGTTTTTGCACTTTCAGGCAGTAAGGACACTTAACACACAGTTCGTAACCCACATTTTTAAACCAGGGAAGTGTCTCTAGCAGATTCTGCATCATCTCATTCAAAGATGTTCGTACCAGAATCGGTGTTTCTTTTGCTGATACCGGCTCACATGAAGATCCATCGCTTTGTTTTATTTGCTTCAAAACGATCTTGATGAATCTTTTCTTGCACACAAGCATCATGTGGTGAGTGAGCCCCTTCCCAATGAAAAACAGAGATGCCCCATCGTACAATTTAGGGGGTTTCTCGAATCCCCTCGTAGAGCACCATTCGGTGCATCGTGACACAAGCTGTAAATAAAGACCATGAGGCACGTAGCCCATTCGCTGAAAGTCAAGGTACAGTGGACATGGATCTCCAGGCGATAGTTTCTTTATGCAGAGGATGTCAGGAGGTGACCTTAGTTGGCATGGTACAAAATATTTTTTTTCTGTTGGTGACAGGGCGAATTGCACGATCAATCCAAACTTCATCATCATTTCAAGGATATCCTCCTTGACTACTTCTTGCTGACAAAACTCGGAAAACACGTGTTCAACAAGCTCCATGTTGAGAACACCTGTTTTCTCCATTTCTTTCCACCATCTACAACACCTTGGTTCCTGGAAAACAATGACAAAGAAAAATAAAACAAACACGTGAAGCAGTGACGATACCAAGGGAGGATACGCTAGAGAAGAAAACGTTTTCTGGCAACAAGATACAGTGAAGATACAGTGACACTCGCGGGGAATGCTATAGTGTCCGCTTCATACAGGTTTCGATAGACAATGTCATGTTAGGAGTGAAATACCCTTCAAATGAATGGTGGAAACGTTTGGAATACTCAAACAAAACAAAATGAGAAAAAAGTGTTGTAAAAGACTTTGCCTACTTAGTAGAGGGTGTCCGCTTAATCTAAGTTGAACTGTAAGATTCAGAGTTTTTAGTGAGCTTTGTGTTTAGGACCATGGCACCAACAAGCCAGGTAGGGCCACTGATAGAAGAATAAATTGAACAAGTCAGTCCAGCACTAACATAACAGAAGAAGCAACTCCAACACACACTAGGACTAGCCAGATCGTATTCTAAGTCAAAGCCACACTGTTGTTTGAGGGTGTGGAAATGCAACTGATGTTTTCTTCTTACCATGTCATCAAAACAGCGAACAGTTATGAGTTGTTTGAACAGTTTAATAAGCCATTCAGCCTGAAGTATAACTGTGTTACCGTGTTTGACAATCACGCCGAGGTCATGATAGAAATTTAACATAGTGGCAACCTCATCCTTGTTTTCAATGAAGCAATGTTTCTGGATAATGGTCTGAAGTTGTTCCATGTTTAAATGGTACACTTTCTTGGCAACCAAAGTTTTGACAACCTTCTCGAAGTTGAACCATCTGAAAAGGAAAGTGGTTTTTAAACTTTATAAGGCATGATAAGGTAAATGGAAGGCGGGATAGCTATTTTGATAAGCCATTAAAATTACGTATACTTTTTAAACTCATTTTTTAATAAATCAACAACGAAACAAGTTAAGGTATTCATCTTTTTATTTGAAAAAAGATTTCGGCAAGTGCGTTCTCCTTAAGTTAAGACGAATTTGATAGGCCCTATCAAATGAAGCACCTGCACATTGACCGTACTCCACATGAATCTCGGCTACATCGGTTGTGCTTCATGGACATTTCACAGAAGGTTTATTATTATTATTATTATTATTATTATTATTTGTTTCACGCTTCCTTGTGTTTTACAAATCACTGACACGCAAAAGTACAACATCGAGGCACCACAGGATTTTCTTTTTATGAGGCATTCAGTGCAGATATGTATGCCGCACTTCAGAAAGCATCAAACTGCGTTATATAAGAAACACTCGAATTTTAAAATTTTCCAGGAAGGATATCATTTGGTGTTCCTACAAGAAAATTACATTTAATACTCTGTACAGACTGATTCTAGGCTGACTGGTACTATGTTTGATAAAATTGACTACACATTAATTTTGGATTTATTCATCATTATTTATCATCTTTGTTCGTTACGTGGAAGAGGCGGAGGGGAAGGCTCGTCCCAAATAATAAGGACTACAATGGACGAAGTAAAAAAAAAAACTTCTGATGAAGTGTAGTGGTGTAAACGACGAGGGAGTCGTTATAATATTTCAGGAAATACGCATCAAATCCCACCTGCCCTTCCTACAACATAAAAAAGACGAGTCTTCTACTATTAACTACCTCGTATAACAGACATTTACGGTAACTTCGTTTTAGTTTACATAATGTACTTTTAAAAGAACTTCACAGGTTCCAGTTGTACCAGTATATGATAGGTATTATCATTATCTTGGAGATCATAAAATAACAACAACCCTAGGGACTGCAAACTCACCGAATCGGTGTCTCCTCTCCCATGTATGGTTCTTGTTTCAAAACTTCAATCATGCGTTTCTGAAGTGCACTAACTCCCCTATCAGATGATCCTTGAGTATTGTCAACAGAGAAGATGGGGCGGATTACATTTTCACTGTTTTCAAATATTTCCCTTTTAATCTGCAACTCGATCTTGTCGATGTCTTTCTGATGTTGTTTATCCGCATGTGTTCCTACAATGAACACAGGAGGGCGACAGTGAGGCTGATCTTTCACAGCCTTTTCTGATTCTGATGAACAAACGCTGCTGACTGAAACCAGCCAAGACAACAAATTTTCCATATTCGTTTCCTTATTTGGGTTAGGGAGACGAATTTTCCGATTTCCCTGTTTAAAATAAGGTTGAGCTGGGTCGTTTAATCCTTTGCTGAGATCGTAAACCAACATGTAAACTGCTCGTGGCGATAAAAAAACTGGGTAAGACGCATAGTACAGCTGTTGACCAGCAAAGTCCCACAGATCAAGGATCATGTGATGTTCAACTGTTGTTACATCAGTCTGAAGGTTTAGACCTTTCAAAAGTTGATCAAGACAATCCGTAAATTCTTCTGGGGGCGAAGTAGCGTCGATGTTTAATTCAACGTCTGGGGCTTCTGTTTTTGTCTCTTTACTGGCATTCCTGGATGTGTCCTAAAGTGTTTAAAATGGTTAACATGTATCTTTAGGGCAATTAGGACAAAATATGTACATAGGGGAATTTTGCAAGCGGCGATGTTTTCATTCAGTTTGTCTCTTAGAACAAAGGGCCGATATTCTACACGAGATATTTCAACATCAATATCTGTTATAACCAACTGTACTGCAACTGTGTTCCCAAGTGAATCTTTCCCTGATAAAAGCAGCCTTTCCGGTTTTTAAGCATGTATATAATTTCAAGCCACGCTTCGAGAGATCGCGCCAGATGGACAACTGGAAATGTGCAAAGCGCGAGGTACCCTTGGCAAGGTAAGACTGATGGACGAAGAGTTAAAACTATGTGAGGGTTACACTCTGTAATTCAATATACTACTCATTACAGTAAATAAACAGGGAATATAAAGTTCTGAATAAGCAAAAAATAGCCACTAGGGGTGGAGCACTGACCTGTAATGCTAATAGATAAGCACAAGATCCACTCTTAATTTGAAAAAGGTTAGCTCCTTTTTATACTTATACTATTTTTACCAAACTTTCCATAATAACACGTCAAAATTTAAAGTCAAGTGTTAGTTAAGAAGTTAGCGAGTTGCTTTTAAGGTACTCGCTTTGTAAATACACCCGAGTACATATTTGTACTTGCAAAAAAACGACGTTTATTGCACGGCAGACTATAACCGAATGAAATTCATGTGCTTGGAGTTAGCCAGAAAAAATAACACTATTCACCAAAATCTTTAACGTACACTATACGTAGGTTCATTAAGTTTTTGCTTTAAAGAAAAGCCACATTCTGTTACAGACAACTTGGTTTTTACCCTTCTTTTACTCCAAGGATAAAGAAGGTTTTCAGGAAATAGGTTTTTAACAGACGGCTCACAATCCTTACAACTCCCACTGTCCTTTCGCCTTACTGTAATGGGACAGTGAGGACCTTGGTACCATAACGCCTAATCTGCAATGATCAAACCTTAGAGTCAGAAGAGTAGAGAGACGGTCCTACTGAAAATCGCTTTTCGAAAAATATCACAAAAAAAAGAAAAAAGAAAGAAAAACAGAAAACTGGATCTGCAACAACGCTAAATTTTTCTTTTTCTTTTACATTCCAGTTAGCTATCGACATACTATAGTAATCCTTTTTTCCGTTATCTTCTGATAAAGCCTAGCCAAATTTAAAATTGAAACCTGGGCTGGTGTGTGTAAAAACTTCACTTTCTTGAATTCTTTTGAGAGAAGGTCATAATGAATTAAGGTTTAGAGTATTTAAGGCTACAACCAGAGAAACGTTGCTATATTTACCTGATTCATTTGAGAGTTAACCACTGCCGGTTTTGACAATCGAGGTTCTCCAAGAGAGTTAAGACCAGACTACAAGTTTTGATAAAAATAAATACATAAGTCAATTCAGGTTGACAACATAGAATCACCATAAACTAAACAGATTACTGACAAATTGCTTTTTTCACATACATGTATATGTTGTGGTTCAATAGGTCATTTCCAAGTTCCCCCAGGCCTCGGTATCAAAGAGAGGTTTTAAAAGTGCTCAGCCTTTGATATGGAAATGATTTTCCATTCGCATGCAAATAAAACTCATTTCCTCACTGAGGAAATGCGTTTTAAAAGGTTGTGTACTTGGCCTCATTTTGAAAGTGGGGGTTTCTGGAACTCGGAAGAGGCCTATTTTATCCTTGGTTTAAATATTATTTCCCTTTGTCTTTGGGTATGGTAATGTATGATAATGATTTTAAAACAAAGGGAAATAAAATTAAAACCAAGATTATAAAATTGAACCACAACATATATAAACAATCCAGTAATAGTGTCTGATGATTGCTATTCTGGTCCACAGCAGGTTATTTGCAATTGGATGAAAATAACCAAGCTAGTGAATTTTTCAGTCCGTGTAGCTGGCGGGATTCTTATTCCCGGGGTACTTTCTTGCTGCCTCGTAGAAGCTCGTGGGAGAAGCCTCGAGGGAAATCCCAACCTTCTCGCCAAAAAACTAGAACACTCGCCAGCTACGTAGACCAGTGAATTTTTTATCAGACATGTAGTCTGTGAAGGTATGAGGATTTTCTTTTTGTTGTTGCTCTTTGCTTTTTTTGTCTTCCTGGTTTCATTTGTTTGTATTTTAATTTAGGGTTGTTTTTCTTTTACCAACCTGACCCATTTTTGTCTGTTTGTTTGTATCTTCATCAGGATAATCCTGCTTTGATTTTTTTTCTCTTTGTTTTTCTCTTCCTTTCTCGTAGTCGTCGTCACTGTCCTCTTCATCACCTTCTTGTGAAACTTCTTTGTCTTTATCTCGTTCCTGTATTTCTTTAGCCACCATTTTTGCAAGATCAAGGGCAAATTGAGACACACTTAGCTTTTTATCGGTGAGTTTCCAGTTCTTTACTTGATCGATGTCGACTTCGAATTTTGATGGGTCAACTTCAATTCCATCAGTGCTGTCTTCCTCAGGGTTAAATGGTAGACCTAAGAACGACTTTTTTAGGCTTGTCTTTCCCGCCCGATCTTGACCGATCAGCATGATTCGAGCACGGTACACCTTCACCTTTCCAGTCTTCAAGGCATTTACATAAGCAAGCTTCGCTTCTGGTCCTTGTGCTTTGATCTCTCTGGGAACTAAATACAGAAAACATTTGATGCAGTTCTCAGTCCAAGAGATACAGATATCCACTTTTCTTATCATCTTGTTATTGTTTGTTTTTGTGACCATTGCTTGAAAAGGTTAGGGGAAAACACAAAAGAAAGGAGGATAATTCTAGGGACAAATGCTGTTTTAGCAGATGTTTTTCTTGACATTCGTTTAGATCCAATATCCAATTTTCCCATTTTAAAGTATCCGTACAAAAAAATCCATCAAAAGAGTTGAAGTTATGGGGTAAGGGTGGATTGGGCGAAGTAGAAAACATTCGTGGAAGGGAAAATTTTCTCGGATTAGCCTTGAAAGGAATTCCTGCATTGACTTACAAGTCTTCACTTTCCGCCCCAATTTCAGAATGGGGTGAAAAACGTGTAAGGTGAACAAGATTTCTTCTTTCCTGGCCTCATCTGTACAGAGCGGATTTACTTCAAAACAACACTTTAAAACGGGCAATTTTTGGAGGACCCTATACTGTGAAGCAGTTCGCTCTCCAGTACTGCGTGGTGTCTACCAGCACCTTAAGTCTATCGCCACCCAACAGGGCCTCAGTACTGCAGCCTGTTTTCCTGCTTCTGCGAGTTTATAAGGAAGGAAAGAACAACAATTATCTGTTTGTCGTTTTCAAATTTATTTTCTATTAAAAAAGGCCATATTCCAAAGAAATATGTTGTTCGCCCTATGGACATGTTTGCCCCAAAAATAGTGCATGAACATTGTGTTCAATTTCTACCCAAGAGTATTAAAAAAGAGTTATGCAAAATTTTATGGGGCAAACAGGGTTTATTATGGGTAACCTGAGATCATGCCCAATTTTTGCAGCTTCCATACATTCTCTCTTACGTGGGCGCGCTTCACCTTTCCCGCCAGCAGGCCAAAATGTTATTTACCAAGCAAAACGAAAATAGAGCCTGATGTCAGGTTATATTATGGGAGATGTGCAAATCGCAAATGAACGCAGTCCTTTTTAATGTCAAAGCCCCACCCACAATGTTGGAAATTTCATTTCCGAGGATCTATTTTGAAAGGGGTCTCATTGGAAGCATTCATTTATCGGGAAAAAACGTTGCTGAAATTGTCTTGTCTTGTAATTTTAATTGACCACTCCAGAAAATACCATAACAAACCATAATGCTCTTTGTTTGTCACCCCCAAATTTTTTACATAAACATTGTTACTAAAAAAAAGCTTCTGCAAAAAATTTGGAGGTGACAAACAAAGAGCATTATAGTATGTTATGGTATTTTCTGGAGTGGTCAATTACTAGACATCACAAGTATCTGCATGTAAAATATAGCTTTTACAGTAAGCTATCTGTGACTTTTTAAAACATTTTTTGAATAAAAAATGAAATGACATGTATATGTCCAAACAAAATTCGTGCCAAGGATTTCACCAAAAAAAGAAAACTATATACAGTTACTTGACCTTACTTGGCCGAAACAAAATTCGCGCAATAAAAATCCCCAACCCCCAATTACTTTTCTAATGGTCCACCCCTTGCTCACATTTACGCCAAAGACAAACATTAGAAAATTTCAACTTAAACACAGCTTTATAATTACCTTTATCGTAAGTGTTTTGCGAATATTGAAAATGAGGTATAATGTTTTTGGAAAAAGATACAAGCCCATACATTTTTTTTATATACATAACATTTTTCCATGATACAAAAACATCTTTGAAACGAAAACTAAAATCTAAATGATTTGTTTCTTGCCTCACTGGGTCTCTTTTAACCATGTTACTAGTTTACAATCTTTTCTAAAAGAATCACGGCTCTTTTTTCCGGCGCAAGCAGAATATTCTTATTTTTCTGCTGATGTTAGGCTGAATAATATTCTTGTGAATATTATTATGAAAAGTTCAATTTTTATTCATCAGTTTCTTATAATAAAACAATAATTATATGATAAGCAGTAACTACGAAGACGGAGACGCTACTCAAGTGTAAGGTGGTGTTTCTATTGTATGTTTGTTAGGATTGCGGGGATTTAAGTGAACGTTAAGACTTCAGCATACCTTTATCTCTCTGCCGCACTTTGTGTCTTTCAAGGTTCTTTCTCTTTCGTGAATACTCTTCAACAACTAGTTATAAAAAAACAACGGATGATTTAATTTTGTGTTCATAAGTTTTTAAAAATATAACAATTGCTATTTGAAAACAGTAACTACTAGGACACAGACATCTACTCAAGGTAAGGTGGTATGAAAGGGCGGCGCAGTGGTGAGAGGGGCTCTCAGGTGGTTCCCGTACGGGTAAGAACATCCGCGGATTACTGATGGGTGCGTGACTGAAGATGTAATAGGACCACTAATAAACGAATCACCTGGACTTGCACTTTGCGGCTGCGGTGCCAAGCGGGACTATCATGCGGTTTCCGTACGGGTATGAATATCTGGGGATTACTGACGGGTGCGTGACTGAAGACGTGACAGGACCACTAAGATGCGAATCACCTGGACTTGCACTTTGCGGCTGTGGTGCCTGCAGAGGGGCTCTCATGCGATTTCCGGGGATTACTGGTGAGTGTGTCACTGAAGACGTAACAGGACCACTAAATTAAAGATGCGGATAACTTGGACTTGCACCTTGCGGATGAAATCCATACTGCGGGTATTTCAGCGCTTCATGAGGGAGGAGACTTTCTAAATTAACTGTTGAGTGGGTATGGGTTGTAACGCCAGGACCAATGAGATATGGATCATCTGACATCGTAATTTGCGGTTGCGTTCCATGATGAAGGGTTCCTTGCATTCCATGTCACGTGGGGAAAGAAATCTCGGGATTCCCTGTGGGTAAGTGACTGCAGAACCTTCGAGATTCAGAAGAGATCACCCGGCATTGTATTTTGGGGCTAAAGTCTCTGTTGTGGTGGATTCTGCATTCCACGCAGGGGAAGATATCCAGAGAAAACAGGAGGGAGAGCAGCTGAAGAAATGCCAGAACTGCGGGGATAGGGGTACCCCGGAAATATACTTCGCGGTTGCCATGCCTGCAATGGTGATTCCAGCACTCTGTGACGGAGGGGATGTTCACTGAAGGCTGGAGAAATGTGACGTAGGAATGGCAGTTAAGATCCCATGAGTTAACATAAAGGTACAGTGTATCAGTAAACCACTGGTTTCACACTCGTGGTCTTAAAGTAGATTCCTCCTTTTCTAGCATTATACGCATTCTCAGGTTACTGTACAATATTAGAAATTGAAGCATCGCCCACATAAAGTAAACACAAGAAAATGTCCAGTTTGGAGATTTTATTAGACAGACTGTAGAAGAAAAAGGCCTTCAGCCCCAGTAGTTCAGACTGGGTTGTTCCGGAGGTCAGCAGTTAACATAACTCAGGGTTAGTGCAAAATTTGGAATTCATATATGAGAGAGCAAAAAGCAGATTCAGTTTAATTCTTTTTGTCTACAATTTGATGATAGGATACTCTTAAAAGAATAGAGAAAATTATCTGAAAAAAGGCTTTTGAATTAAAGAAAAAGAATTAACTGGGTTAAAAAGCGGTAATCGGCCTTCGAACGTTTGGGTCCAGAAGGTAAATAATGCTATTCTACTGGATATCGCACTACCTAATGCATATAGGTGTCGGTTTCTCTAATACTTATCTTGACTTTTCCGGTGGATAGCGCTATCCAACTATTTAAAAAAAAACTGGGGCCTGTTTGTGTGTATTGTAGTAAGGACAACAGGACCGTTTAACACAAGCTGTAGCACTACGTAGTCCTGTACATTGTCTTATTGGTACTCGAGAGTCAGTCATGGCGTTACTAGTCTAGTAAATTGCAGAATTTTGTTTTCCTTGTAACACGGATGGAAACCTTACCACCAGAATGGAGAGGTGCTGGAACTGGTCCTGCGGTTCCAGGATCGTGTGACGGCACGTCCAGAGTACTGAGGCGAGTGTTCTTCTGAAAACGAGACCAAAGGCAGAATAATCGGTATCAGTACGGAACCAAAGTAAACGTGTGATCTCCTGCTAACAATCATCTGACAGTTTTAAGATCACTCAGCTAAACGTATGATCTGGGAAATAACCAGCAGACCCTTTCTGTCTCAAGTTGGTTCACTAAAATGGATACCAACTCCAATTGTCCGTCTCAGAGTGGTGTCTGCGTCGTACTAGTATATAGAGTTTAGTTACAGTAGAATGATTGGAAAACTCGGCAGAGAAGAGACAAGCACCCGGTGTCCGTCTTACCGGCAGAGTTTATAGCCTAACAGAGAGGTTAGTTACAGGGTTGTACGACCAGTTCTAACACGTTTGTAGCCCATCGAATTTCAATAACTATTAACACGTTAGTTACTAAGAAGGCGCCTGATCCATGAAATCTCTCTCGGCAAATATAAATCCTAGCCAATGTTTAATAACAATTTCGTTAATACAACCTCATTACCTCATTAACAGACAAACAACCTACCTCGGGCTCGACCTGTGTGACTGTAGACAGGCCAGAACCTCTGAAAAGGTACGAATCGATACCTATGGATCCTCCAGGTGTAGAGCTGGTGGACGGGGCACTGTGGTGATAGGTGTAGATATCAGGGGAGGGATAATTCTGTGGATACTGAACGTTATGAAGGGGGTTACCACTGAGGTGTGCGGCAGGTGTCAGACAGTGATTGGATCCATGCGCTGTAGGAATGGACGGCTCTGCTAACAATGGATCATCTAAAGGAAGAAATGAGGACCCCACGTGATATGATGGTATAAAGGAAATCATTGATTTCAGACCGATATTTAGACTTCTAGAACATTTATCCTTTCTTAATGTTATTTCCCCTCGTTTTACTACGTAAGTTTAGATAATTAGTGTAAACAACGCTCACTTTAGGTAACACCAGAAAATATCTACATCGGAACAGGAGGAGGTAGCGTCTTTACACAGGCCACGACTTCGTAAAAATAAAGTCACAGACTTCCATTCAATCAGAGGTTAATTTGTGATGCAGGTACACTTAATTGGCCGCTCTACGGACTTTCAACAAACGTTTTTCGACTGATTGATAGCGGGTTTCTGGCAAGGCACAAAATTATAGAAACGTCTGTTACAAACCATAAGACACAGGTTTTCACTCATTCGGAAGTTGATAAAAAGGTTCTGCAACTACGCCTGCTGTCCAATCTCACAGGATTTTAAACGAACTGACCTTCGATTTTCACGGAAGAAAGAAATTTGCATTCTGTTATGATGTATGGATTTAAATGAAACGTTGTATCACATAGCTCACCCGCTTCGGTGCCTTGTTCTGCTTTCCCTTTTTTTCTTTTCTTTTTCTTTCCTTGAGGTTCGACAATTTCTAGTAGTAAAAAAAAAAACAAAAACAAAAAAAAAAAACAGCGAGGACAGTCATTACTTTCCGACAAGAGAGAATTGTTTCCAAGCACAGCTGAACGTCTCTACAACAGTCACCTTGGCGACAGACGAAAGTGGCCATTGTAGAGAGGTGACCGTTGTAGAGAGGTTAAAACAAGAGTAAATGTATGGACTGTCCGCCAAGACAAACGGCAGTTGTAATGAGGTGGCCCTTGTAGAGAGGTTGAAACAAGATTCAGTGTATGGACTGTCCGCCAAGAAAAAAAATGGCCGTTGTAGAGCACTGGCCTTTGATGGCCGTTGTGGAGAGGTGGTCGTTAGTGAAGGTTCGACCGTATTCCGAAATAGTATTTAGTGTTTAATCCAAATTAATAGAACACTACATAATTTAAACCTCACATTAACAACTAGGGAAAAACAAATTGAGTTTTCGTCTTTGCAGTCAAAGGGTGTCACTACAAGATGGACTTTAAAGGACTAAATAAGGTCTCTCATTTCTGTTATAAACAACAGTCGAATCTCCACTAACGGTAACGGCCACCTCTCTACAACGGCCATTTTTGTTTCGGCGGACAGTCCATACGTTCACTCTTGTTTCAGCCTCTCTACAATGGCCACCTCTCACTTTCTTCTGCCCGGCCAAGGTGGCCGTTGTAGAGCGGTTTAACTGTATAATTTGGATTTAAACAGTGACCTTTAGTATACCTTCAGTCATCATCTCCTGCACTTTCCGCTTTTTTCCGACTTTCTGTTCTCTTCCAGGGGATTCTTCTGTAAGCATAAAATCAATTTTGTATGACTCAGTTTCTAAAAATTCTTTGAGAAACAGACATACAGTGAATCCCTGTTAATACGGACACGAAAGCAACATGGTAAAGTGTCCTTATTGTGCGAGGAATGAAAAAACTTGATTAATATACTGTAAGATCGTACATAAATTAACGTTCTTTTTGTCTTAATTATTGTTTACAACCAACCTTGTAAGGAAACTTGTTCATCGTACGCTCTAGAAGGTGAGCTGGGAAGATTCAACTCCTGCAAACGAGTAAATAGTGCCATGTAGTTCGAGTGATTATATATGCAAGCTTTTGAGGACTGACCAATCGACTGACTGAAGCGTCACTTAATTATACGACTTAAAGTAGTCGTTTAATTACAGACCCAAAGTTGAATCAACATGAAATGTTAATGACAACTACACTGTAATAGTACTTAGCACTCGACGAAACCCTTACGCAACGGTTTCAGAATTCGTGAAAGTCGTTAAAACTTTTAGACTTTTTAGACCAACAGGGGCACCCAACGAGAATATAGTTCAAAACCACTACAACACAGCATTGTTAAACGTATTTTGGTATTTAAACGGTAGATATAGGCATATTTTTATCCCCTAAAAATTTTTCATCTGTTCGGATTTCCTAGCTGAAAGTCTAGTGGTCCGAAAATTATAGGGATCAAAACTTACCTTTTCGAAAATATCAGCCAGAAAAAAGGCTCCCGAAAATTCTAGGTGACCTTTTTAGGGTAAAAATCCGTTAAAAATAGGCAATTATACCTTATTTTAGATGTTCGAAAATCCTAGGAGAAGCAGGCAAGCAAGAAATTTTGCAACAAATGTTCCGAAAATTCTAGATCTCATATCGTCTTCCGAACAGATATTTGTCCGAAAATTGTCGTTGGGTGCTCCTGGACCAAAAGTAGCTCAAGCATGCCCCAGAAACAAATACGTCGACGCTCTCTTGAAGGTACTATATACATCCACTAACGACCCGTGACTGGCCTAATAATTCAATCGACAGACAACCTGGAAAACCTTCCGGTCTTTGTTCACCTGGCACCAGACGAATTCTCATCCTGTTAAAAATTCGTGCATTTAGGTATTCAATTCACACAGAACCACAAGAATCAGACGCCTAGCCGTTCAAATTTGCGTGTGAACAGAGTGAAAATATTGAACGATCCCGTATCAACGAGGCGTCTTGTCAAAATTCCTTCGTTGATGAGAATAAGGCTTCAAAGCACAGTGAAGTTAACGTAACCTTGCTCAACCACCAAAGCTGGCTGCCTACCACGTGGGTAGTTATATAACCAATCAGCTGTCGCCACGTGACAAGCCTTCTCTTACGCCACTTTGAATGACAGTTTGTTGATTTTGTAGTTTGTTGTTCACTTCAGTTGAATTTGCTCATCAAAGAAAACTTTCAACGCAAAAATACTCAAGATGGACACAAAAAGAATGAGAAAATACCGTAAAAACCACATACCACAATGCACCAACATTGGCATAAGTCTGGATTACCAAAATCCTACAAATTTGCTTATTTGTAAAGATCACATGTACCAGTATGTTTGGTGGTCTTGATAATATTCCACCACTAGCTCCACAAGTTTTCCTCTAAAATTTAAATATTCATTTAATAGCCGAAGACAAAGCAATATTCTGTCTCCAAATAATGTAACTGAGATCACTCTAAAATTAGAACTAAACATGACGCAAATAGATTCACCCCGCTGACCCCTGTATCCAGCTAGGTACCGTTTCCGCAAATCAAAGAATTAATCATCTTTTAAAAACTAAAATGCTGCTCTAACTTTTGAGTCTGTGGATGAAATAACTAGATGTTGCCAATAAAATAGGTGACCTTGTTCCCTAAAATTTAAATTATGCTTAACAGTTTTTAATAAAAAAAATTTGAGTTTGTGACATGTGTCCAGGGAACTCTGGTCTTTTTTGATGAGGACACTAGATTATTTTTTATGTTCATGCCACTGCAGACTTGGGATTTGCACTTAATATGCACAATAAGCAAAATAAATTATGTTAATCTGTTACCACATGAAATAATTTATATACCTCATCTAAATTATATCTGAGAGAAAAATTGTAATCTAGGATTAAGTGAAAAAAAATTTCTTTATTTAAACCAAACTACGACCAAGAAACCAAGATAGAGGTACACGTTTTTAACCCTCTGATGAGATTTCGAGCAAATGCAATGCATACAACAAACAAATTCTACATTACTCATATTATTATTATTATTATTATACATCAGACTCACTATGAAAAATCTGATTGGTTGAAAGCATTCAATCAATTCACAGTAGCTTGTGAACTTGACATGATAAATGCATTATCTGCTGCAGATATTGCATTTATCATGTCATAGTTAATTGAGTGGAATGGTTATGAAACCCGTCAGACTCCTTTGTTATATGTTTTTGTGGACCTGAAAGTGCACAACGTTCAAAAGAATTCCTATCATTTTGATTGTATTGACCAATAAAAACATTGCATTAATTTATTCCGTAACAATTTGCCAACAGAAAACAAAGGATTGGGCACTTTCAGGGTGCTTCCAACATAAACTGCAGCACTGTTGTTTTTATCACTGATGTTTGCCGCTTTTCATAACCAGTCTCCTCTAATAACTATGATCATGTCAAGTTCAACGTCTGCCTGGTTACCAAGCCCCTTAGAGTGTTCTCCTCAGAAACAGAATGGCTGAATGCTTCGCTTCTGTTTCCGAGGATGAATTATTTTCAATTAATGTTTATAAAGATTTTCCGTTAAGGATTTTTCTATTTTAATG